TACGAAAACATTGGTGAATGCCACAAATTCTCCTAAATCACTCGTACGCACAATTTAAGAACAAATCTGTGCGTACGAACAGTTCTTGCATGAGGCCCATTGTACTAAAAAAATCTCCTCTAATTGATGCTGAAGCTTTAATCTCTCAATCTGATGAGCCTGAGTTAGAATCTCTTAAAAGGTGTCTTTGATTAAATAAAATTAAGGCATTGTTTTTATTTTTTAATTTCTGTTGTCTAACATCATTAGGCTGATTGTCCTCTTTTGCATGTGAACAAACAGTTTTAATTATCATCATAAACCTGTTTGTCCACTGTGTTAAAGTGCTGCATATAAGGCTGAGCTAACCTGTAACTCCTCAGACGGAAGAAGTCTAGTGGAGGAGTTGAAACATCTTTTCAACAAAGAACTCATCCAGAAGACCCACTTAACTTTTTTTTACATTATTTTACTTTAGTTTGAATGGTTTTACTGAATACAAATCTGTTTTTGTCATTGAAGCCAAGTTCTTAATGATCCAAGCACATCATTGGCAATAACTGAGTCATAAAACTGTAAAGTTGAAAAAAAAAAACATATCTACAAAGTGACTGAAAGAGTCCTAAACTTTATTTTGGGTCATCCCGCTTGGGTTTTTTCCACTTTTACTCATTTTAAGAAACTTCCTATAAGTAAAAAAAGGACCTGTCCAAACCTAATTTACTTTAGGGGGAAAAAAAAGAAATATTAATATTAAGGTAGTTTTAATTTTCTTTATGTAACTGGATGCTTTTAAACACAAAGTCAAAGACTGACAATGCTTTTTCCTTTTCATCACTGAAATCCATACAGTCTTCTTCAGTCAACACTAAAAATGAGATTCAATTGTAAACTTATCTCCAGTCAAACAGCATATATCCATCAGTAGTTTCCATTACCAGCAGGGCTTCTGTGTACAAACTATTCTGCTTTTAGCATGATAGAATTCAGAGCTGAAGGCATTATCTGTTCTCACAATGCGTCAAAATCATTCTGCGACAGTGACTCATACGGCAACATTTCAGTGAATCCAACAAGTTTCTGTCTATAGAAGGTTTATGTTTAAGTCACCATTAACATGTCAAATGCACAAATTCCTTTAAGTGTCAGATCGGTATTTAACTAAACCGCAGAAGTGAAAAGAGAAACAAATGAAGCTGATACAAGAAGTTACAGGAATTTTAAAAACAGATATTTGATATTTGATGTTTTTTAAGCAGGAAACGTTATCAAATCAATTCTGTTTTTTCTGGCTTTAAAACATCACTGTACAAACCAAGCTGCATGCATCAGTTTATGTAGAAAAGATGCAAATTTGTACATGTGCRCAGAAGGGATTCGCCTGTCACATGAGAGCAAAATATTACTACAGCAAGATTTAAATGGAGTATTTCTGTTTTATCTGTCTGTATAGAAAATAAAAAAAACATAATTCCTTTATCCTTTTTTTCCAACCTAAATGTTTCTGTTCTTTGTAACAGCTTGTAAAGTCAGCAGATTGCTGACACAGGCTGAGCTGTGGTGAGAGCATTCTAAAATAATTCTTCCAGTAATAGATAGTGAGGAGGAATGTAATAGAAGGAAGCTGCCTGATTACTACAGCAGGCCTGCAGGTGTTCTTTCTTATCTTTTTTTTTTTTTGTCTTAAATGATGTTCACACCTACACAGGTTGTTTTTAAACCTGTATAAACACGCACACGATGGGATTCATGAAAACTTTGCATGCTGCTGTAACAGATGAAGTTCCCCTGCAGCGTTTCTAATTTTAATCAGTTTGTGGAGTTAAAATAAGTCTGTTTTAAAAAAAATAGCAGGTTAGATTTTTATGTCAAAACGTCCATAAAAATATAGAGAAATTATTTGTTTTCTTCAGTGTGTTAGCGATGATAAAACCCACAATTTTTTGTAATTCATTACGACAAACTCATTCAATCTCCAGAAAGGGTTTAAGTCTTCTCATTCCAGCCTAAAGTTTGGTTTAAAAACAACCTGATTTCTGTTTAATAATCACACAAACTATGATTTTTGCCCCCTTTTTTCAAAAAATAATGAATCTCAATATTTGTACAGATCCATTAATAACTTTATTCTCATTCTCTGGAATTTAAAAGGGTGATAAATTTGTCCTTATGAAAAGCAAAACTGTTTAACAAATAGTACATTTTTGTGTCTTGAAAGTGGTATTTCAGAAAACACTCCCTCGTTCTTTTGCATCTTTTAAGATTTTATAATTACATGTTTTGTGTTCAGCTGCTTTCATTTTAAGAACCTGATAAACCTGCAGCAGCACATGTCTTCAAACATTACCTCAGAGTTTCATTCTCTCTTTGTTTTCACACATTTCTGTCCTCCTTTCATTTTTTTTGTTAAATTCGATTTTATTTCGACTCATAGAAACTAAAGAAGAACAGCGTCGGTGTGTTCTGGGGAGAGTTTCCAATTGGTTAAAAACAAAAACTTCTATCATTCCATAAAGAAATAGTCCCTGTTTTGTGCCAAAGCTGTTTTAAAATCTCACTTTAAATTTGCCATTTTTTGCTGTAATTTTTACTGATTTTAACTTTCGTTTTTAAATATTCCTTGTAGTCACTGAAAATTGATTAATTTAGTTGTGGCTCACAGGGAAAGTTAAAAGTAACCTGGCAACCTTCAGAAGCTGAAATTTGAAACCAAACACGTTTCTGTCCTCACTTACCTGCAAAGCAGTTCAGTGAAAAAAAATAATAAACATCCTGCGTTCTAATTTGCAGCTGTTGTTCTGCACTTGTAATTTCATTTTTAGTTTGCTTTCGTTTTAGCACATGAAAGCTAAAGTTGGCTTCACGCCAGCTGTACGGCATGTGTGCGCGGCGTGTCTTAGTTTTCATTTTGGTTTTCATATTAAGAGATTATTCAGGTGCATATTGGCTGCTGCTTGAACTCCTGCAGCCTTATGTCACAGAGACAAACTGTTCTCTGCTAAAATTCACACAAACAGTTGTGTAAGGGTGGCTCAGGAATGGGTGAAGAATACAAAGATTGAGGGTTTAATCCCCAACTCTGAGCATGCTGTATTAAAGGGTAAGATGTTATGTTGTGGGAACCATTTATCTTTTTTCTTTTTAACAAATTAAAGAAAAAACATAAAACTGTGTTGATACCTAATTAGATTTTTAAGCAGTGACAAGGTGGAATTACTGACCACATAAGTCAACCTACTACAGGAACCATCAGTTACTCAGTGAAATATTTATTGTTTGGGGTCTTTTTGTTAAATTCAACAGCAGGTTTGCAGTGTTTCTGTCTACCATGAACAAGGGTTAAAAGTCCAGATGAGGGTCAACTATTTACAGCAAGTCTGTCATTTCTGTCTCATTTCAACCACGGGTTGACAAAAACGACAAAAGCATAAAACAGGAAGTTGGTTTGAATAAACTGTGGCACAGCAAATGGAGGGGTCGGGATCAGAGGGGCAATGACCACCCCAAAAAGAAATTGGTTGTCCCTCTTGGTCAGACCGATTTATCATCTTGAATCCCAAACTTATTTTCTGTGTGCATTTTTAGTTTTCTCAAGCTATGACGGATTAGTAAAACCTCTAAAACATAAAATATTAACATTGTTTTTGAGCCATTTGGAGTTAAATATATAAATATTTTATTATTTATTTTATAAAACCAGTGTTCACAGCATTAGGTTGCATGGTCTCAGGAGTTTAGTTATATTTTTTATATAAATATGAATTTAGGAGAGTACATCTTCAATAAATTAAGTAGTGACAGTGATTTTCTCAATAAATGATATCACCTGTAAATAAAAAAACGAAAGTTATATATACAGTGTGTGTA